TAAGCTTGTGATCTGGTTCCTTATGAGGATTCAGAAATACCCATACTTCTTCATCCAATTCAGGTACCTAGTAGAAGTATTACGTTATGATTTAGTTTGCTGAAGGCAGGAGATAGGAAGCTCTTGCCGCTGTAGTACAGTTTTTAAAGAACGAAGCAGAGGAAAAATGAAGCTACATCACTAGAGGGCAACCAAACATCACAAACATCTATGTTGTTAAAGACCAGGCAATGTCACACCCTTCACTGAGAGAGGCATTTGTGTTATGACCCGAAAAACAGCTTGTGTAAGCAAATGCTTTTGTGTTTTTTGTTACCTAGTAAATCTTGCTTCAGGGATGATAGAGCTACAGAAATATGTATGTTATATATGTGTGTGAGCTGACACAGGCAGGACGCAGGAACAACCATAAAATCACGGATGAAATGCAAAGAGTAAATTTATTCTCGTTACCTCATGACCCGGGGCTTCTCTGCAGCAGCACCCAAGCAGAGACACACAAGCAGGGACACGCGCACTGTGAAGCTTGGTCCTTGTTAGCCAGAAAGAGGAGAAGGAAGAGATCTCAATGCTCCTGCTTTTATATATCAGTGATTTTTGCAGGCATAGGCTTCCATGGTGCTTTGATCTTTCCCACAGCAGGGCAGGAATCTCAAGGATGTTCCATAAGGTGCCTCTGAGTCTCTCAAAGGCCTGTGTTATCTAAACAGACGTTCTACCCATCAAGCCCACAAACCTAAACAAAAATTAGTATGCTATATGTGTTTTTCAACACCCTAGCTGCAAGTCACTTGAGCATGTTTACAGTCCTCTTCACCAATCTTCCACTGTATTCCCCCAAATCTTTTTGTACGATTTTGTGCTTCTTTATCTCTGTTCTGGCACAGTAAAACAACAGCAAGATTGGACATTTGTGCACCATTTTAATTTTTGAACACCATGTATTTAGCACTATGGTTAAGTGTAATATATTCCGACAAAACCCATCCGCTTTGTGAAGCTAAGGATGCACAGTACAGGAGAATTTGAATTTGAAATTCACTGTCTTCCCCTTCATCCCTTTTAGTTTCAGCATGACCACCAACCCAAACTGAGGACAGACATTCTAGAAGACAGTGATGCTGCCCCAGTCCTCTGAAGTTATTAGGTTAGTTATTGATCCTTTTCTTCCATTTTCCTGATGTCTTGCTGGCACTAACAATACTCCCAGTGTAAAACCAGTAATAGCTTGCCACACTGCACTGGGAACGTAGGCTGTGTAATACCATGGCAGATGATGTAGAGAGGAGGAGGGTGGGATATCTGACCCCAAGTCACTGGTGTGAATCAAGAAAGATTGAGCCATTTTTGACCTGTGGATTGTAAACAATTTTATAAACCTGAGACTTATGCCATTAGAATTGTTATCTTTGCCTGCCTTCTGCAGACCAGTAGTCAAGACAGAGCTCCAAGCCCAGGGGTGTTGTGGGATGGCACATTCTCTCCTGTTTTTCTTGCTGGGAAAAGTGGAGCTATCACCAGAAAGAGCTCCACATGTGAGCACTACCACTTGAGAACTGGGATTTGAAGCATTTTTCTTGTGGTGAGAAAGTAACCACTGTGCCTTTTCAAGCAGTGTCTGTTCATTGTTCAGGTTTGGAATGATGCTGACCTCTCACATAAAGCTTCTCTCACTTTTTTTTTTTTTTTTCATTCCCTGATTTTCCAGTTTGTGGGTAGGAACTCTATGCACTGTCAGAAGGCTAAAGTCTAATCATCTCAACTTTGAACTCTCCAGAGCCAAACTACCCTTGAGCATTCCAAGAGTGTACAAGGCATTTTTTTAATGGCATCTTTGTTTTAGTTTACTTTAGCTGTCCTGCACATATCTATTTACTGATATATAGTGAGGTATAGAGGTTATGAATAATGCAGCTGTAAGTTTGTGGGGGGTTTTTGACAGAAATGCATTAACTGTGCTCATGTCAAATTTCTTTATGGAAGTTCTCAGCCATATGAATGATCTGGAATGCATTCAGTAGCAGGGGTCTTGTCTACCATTCTTCAGACCTTCCTGGTGGGCCTTTCCTGCACCTCTCCAGTCTGTGATGTTCTGAGGTTGCAATTCCTGAGTAAAGCTATTTTGGCTGTAGAAGAAGAATCATATAAATGTTCTCTGAACTTTCCTTTGACTCTCAAACCCAAGTGATTTCAAAATGCCAGCAGAAAGCAGCTGGTAAAGGGGGCTAGAATATCAGGTTTGTACTGTCCCTGCCAGTGTAATCTGTGAAAAACAAGCAGATTTTGGTAGCTAGCCTGTTGATGTATGTACTGTAAATGGTCTTTTCTCACACTGATTCGAGAACTTCATAACCGGCCAGAGCTTGACTCTGTGGGTTGACCACAGAAGTCACGTGAAATGATGATCTTATGAATTGTAATCTTTGTATTGGCAATTGACTCACGTAGCACATGCTATAAATAAACATGAAGAGAGAACATGAATGTGTCACATATTCAAAGGCTAGGAGTTCCCTAAGGATTTTTGGGTTCTTCAGATTTGAAACAAACCTTAGCTGATCTCTTAAGGAGAAGCTAGGTTCATGAGTTTTGTGATTTGCAAGTTTTACTTTTTGAGAGGTTTCTAGATTCCCAGAGAACCTTAGAAAAGTGTTTTTTGATTAGTTTTAGAGCTCAGAAATTTTGTCTTGCTCATCTTGAAAGCCCCTTCTAAAAAGGAACAGAAATTGGTTTTAAGAATTATAGGGACTTTTGCTGCTGTGGATCTTTAAGTATTGACAACTGTCTTAAGCTATCAGCAGGTTTCAGGGCATGCCAGAGGTTAGTGTGATTGTCTATGCCAGGTCACAGTTGAATGGAATTCTTTGATCCCACTAAAAGCTCAAACCAGTTTTGTTTCTGTCTTCAAAGTCTGATTCCACTTTCAAGTGAAGCCTTTTATGTTATAGTTACAATGCAAAGGAGTCCAGAGACCCTCCTGACAACTAAGTTAGGACTGAAAGTGGGAACTGGAGAGACATTAACAGACTAGAAAGCAAAAATATTAATCTTAAAATTAAATACTATTTCCTTTAACTTTTTCTTTTTATGTTCTCCATGCACATGGTGGCATTTTTACTCTTGTCTTGTTTTATTGTAAATAATAAAAAGATTTCCTAATCTTACCTTTAATCAAAATAAGGGGTTTCATACTTTTAATGTTCCCCAAAGTACTGTTCTTTATATGGGATTCTCAACTTATTTGACCATGAGAAAAGAAATGTGTTTTAAAATGGTAGCATTTTCTTGGTTTTCATTTCAGAATTACTTTTATTAAATTTGCACACCAAATCTGAGTGATTTGAGTGAGATTTTGCAGGAAAGAAGGAATGATGCTAACATGTTATGACACAAACTTTGAAAATTCTTTTTTACATGTAATTAAAAAAAAAAATCTCATTAAAACTAGGAAAAGTCCACTTGAAGTTTTAAATAGGTCAGATCCCTAGAATAACAATATATTTGTATGGACTGTTAAATTCAGAATATTCAGCATCCAGTATGACTAAAAATAAAGCAGGTCCTCTCTAAATGCCTTGTAGAGTGGAGCAAGTTTGAAACTCTCTCTGTTCATCCACATAGGTGCATTCCAAGAAAAGCAAAATGAGGATGTTATTTTTTATAAATCTAGTTGGTTTCATTTCTATTATAAACGTACAGACAGAACTTGTTTAAATTGTGGTGTCATTTTAGTACATCTGTTTTAGGCTATCTTACTTGTGACCCTCAAAGCAATTTATGGATAGTGCTGACAGATACTAACTCTTAACACATGGGCCCCCAAAATATATTTTTCAGGGTCTTGGAGTCACACAAATGACTGATTAACCGTTTCCATTTAACTGACTTGTCCTCAGCTGGGTTGCTCCTCTTATCTGAGCTAGGAGTTGGTAATTAGTAACTGTTTGGTAGAACCCCACCCCTGGCATTTAAGCTGCCCCTTTATTTTGTGAGTGCTCTTAGTCTGTTCAAGACAGTTAATCCATTTAGTTATTGACCCAGTTAATAGTCAGTAGACTCAGCTGACTACTGACTTTGCCCTGAAAAGTATTACAGACATTCTTACAGTTCGGAACAACAATCAGGAGATCCAAGTAGCTGCCAGGAGCCACTTCTGTTTGTGTCAGAGATAGTTAACCTGTTAACTAACGATGACAAACTTCCAATCTGTGTCAGGACGGTGATGAACAGATGAGTATAAATCTTCAATGAATGATTTAACTCACCTGTTTGTCTGTGGCCAGAGGTAATTGCAATTAGTTACAGCTGCTAACTGTAAATTATTGTTCTTCAGCTGTTATTTCTGTCTCTGTTGCTGTGTAATTTATTATCTAGGAAACTCTCATTCTGTCTAGGACTAGGATTCTTGCTGTCTGTGTCTACGTCCACAATTCACAAGGTCTTAATCTTACAACTAAGAGTTTCCATTGTTGTCTTCAGCTATGGTACTCTTAATGGTGCTTAGCTTTAGGTATTAGCATGATTTGTAAATAGGAGTTGAAGGTAGAACAGCCTTTGTAGTACAGCTCCAGATATGGCCATGAATGCAGCCTGCATCTAGAGTGACTTGCATGGCTTTATGTTAAAACAACCAACCACACTAAACTACAACGTTATCCCTTAAATAGGCAGCGCATATGGCAACTTCATGAGCCTTATCAAAGCCTGCGAGGTCCAACAAACAGACTCTCCTGTAGACTCTTTCTTATTCCTTAAAAGTGCATTTCGGTTTAGCTGGTGCTGTTTAGAAGCCAGTTGCTCCGAACTGCAGGCAGCTGTGAAAACTTTAAACAGGAAACATCCCTGCCGCTGCTGCAGAGCTCTGACTTTTGCCCGCCGCGAACCCGTGCCTCCTACAAACAACAATAAGAGGGATAGCTGATTCATCCGCAAGCAGGAGCCTGCTCTGCTCTGCTCTGCTCCGCTCCAGGAAGATCAGGTTGCACTCCTGCCTTTGCAGCCTTACACCACACCCCCTCCACACGAACTAGCAGGGCAGTATCATACTCAGCACTGGTTCAAGAGTTCTTTCTTCCACAACTGTTGCCAGGAGTTTGGTGAGTACTTTGTAACAAACTTTCCGTTTTACATGAGAGATCTTTTTTTTTTTTTTTTTTTTTTTTAGCTGGCGGAAAGCAGTATCTACTGTTATGCTTTCTTTAGAATGTGGTAAGTGCAGCAGCCAGATGTTTAGACTCAAAGCCCAGCAATGAGTGCTGCAAAAAGGGAGACCTTTTGTTTTTCTCTGCAAATTTGAAACATTAGGACAATGAATATACATTTACGATTACTAATACAACTAATATTTGATTATCAAAATCTCAGGCTGAGATATTTTGAGCTCTAAGACAGTTTTTTGAAAGAAAGCCATCATAAAGGTGAATATGTGATCAGTAGCTGGAGTTTGAAAAAAAAACCACCTCGTTTTTTAAAACAATTTCTCCACTACAGTAGCTTCAAGGGATGCTTGATTCAGGCAGAATGGCCTTCAAATCCTTCTAAGGCACATAATGTTTGAAACAATTAATATTTTGAGAAGTAGAGGAAGATTTTAGGAGAATCAAATTTAGCTGATGCTACTATAAACCAATTTCACTCACAATGTGTATTGAAATTCTCAAGAAACTAGAAACACTTGAACAATGTGGAGAGTAGTGAATGAGGCTTACAGACCTTGGTGCCAATGTAAAAAAACAAACACAATCTCCCCACCCCTCTGAAACACCAGAATATTATTGGTGATTTTTGTAATGTTTTATTTGGAAGAACTCACATAAACTTCACTTTCAGTAACTGTGTAATGAAAAACAGTGATACTAGCCTGTAAGCCTGTATTTAAAAAAATAATGTTAGGTAAAATTTAAAAAATTGTGTTTTAGAAAATCTAAATAGAATTCAAATGAGGAAAAGGCATATAACAATGGGAAAAGTGGAGTGGGGAGAGCAGTTTGGATGGGGGGAATATGTGGAAGGTCAGTGTGACTCAGTACACTAGAAATTAGTCATCAAAGTACTTAATGGAAAACATGTAAAGATATAAACCTTCCTTCCTGAATGTCTTATGGACAGACACAAAGACAGGAAGTCCAGCTGTCAGTATAGATACGAACAGCAAAGGCATGCCATAGGAATTGCTAGCCATCTACTTGGGAAAAAATGTCAGCTTCTTCCCTTTCTAAAATTCTGCTAATTATTTAATTCTGCTAGGAGAGAGTTTGTGATTGTCTGTGAAGGCAACAAGTATTTGCCTCTGCAGTAAATTAATTAGGATTATTATTTAAGCTGAATTTGAGAATTGTAATCAAGTTTACTATGTGTGTAATGCACACAACTAAAGCAATATTGAGGAGGTAGAGATGATTAAATCACATAGTGCTCTGGCCTTTTCTCCTGTGAAATACGTCCCACATGAAAGGGTTCATTAAAAAGTAGTCATGTGGGCAATTGCTTAATAAATCCATTGCTGTGAAAATTTTATAACTTTTATGCTAGAGAATCTCCAAGTGAGCCTTAAATTGACCTTCAGTAATCTTTATGTTTATCCTTATGTTGTGCATTGCAGAGTTTGCAGTCTGGAGATTTAATGCATTTCAAGAGTCTGGTGTAGCTATATGACCTTTAAAGTGCATTTAGCCTTTTAGCCCACTCCCTGCATTTACTACTACTGCTAAATGAAAACTCAGTTGTAACTCATCTAGCTAATATTCTAAACGAACAACAACTATAACAAAATTTTATGATCTTTTCTCAGGACAGATAGAATGATTAATGGCATAGAATTGATCTCTCCTTAATCTCATTGGAGAGTTAATTTTGAAAGTCTAAGGGTAAAAATTTACAAATTATTGGTAACTATTTTAGGGTTTAGTGTCAGATCTAAAGGGCAGTGAGGGAGAGTGTGCAAAAAGGAGGCAGAGCTTCTGTCAGAGAGGAAATTTTTAGATTGAGGGAAAAGTGCTCCAAGATATAATGTGTCTAGGAAACAAAGCAAAGGTGTAAAAGAATATGCTTCCGAACAGACTTTCAGAGAACATGTCCAGAGCCTTTGGTGAGTCTGAGATCTCACTTCTAGCTAGGCCAGATCCACAGCCAGAGAAGGAGAATTACTGGATGCCACAAGGACTGTTTATATGTTTCTCTAATAACCCTTCCAAGTTAAGTGCCTAAACAGGAGCAGATACTTGCATTCAGATTGTCTGTTCGCCAGGCACTGATGTCCTTTATGCTATTCTTCTGACTCGGTGGATCCAGAATTACTTTTAGGGCAGAGAACACAGATTGCTTTCATGGATACATCAATGGGATTAGAATTGTTTCTGGGAATGTGAATACTAAATCTCTTCTGGAAAAGAGAGATATTGACCCCATCTTTCACATCCTGGAAAGCTGCTTTAGTACCTACATTTATCTTAAAAAGGTGATTCTAGCTAAAACCCTCCTGCGTTTTAAAATAAAGTGGTAGCTGCTTGAATTGCTTTGTAACTACCATGATTTTGCTGGTGTGCATCCAGTATGTTCTGAGAATGTCTGCCAGAAGGAGTCAGGGCATGTATACAGGAACCAGAAAAGAAACTTTAAAATAAAAAAAAAATACAACATCACTTGAGCTGAGGAGCCTCAAGAATTATGTGACTATCCTTCCTCGCAATTTTGGCACATAGTGTTTAAAATCTGCTCTGCATTTGGGCTACATTCTGAGCGGTCGTCTTTTCTCTCTAAGATCTAGGAGAAGCTGACAGTTCCTAAAGAAACCAAAACTGTTTGATAGATGTTTTGGTAAGGATTGAAGATGGGGTCTTCATAACTAAAGCTCTTCACACTGAAACCAGGGAGAACTGTCTTTAAAAAAACCCTCCTCCTTCTGTGTGTTTCTCTTATGAAACTGTTTTTACTTTACAATAGGGACAGAGTGCCCTGGGGACAGAATGAAGCAAAACCATATGGGGAATTGTATCATTCCTCTCCTCTCATAGCATTTCACAGCAAAATAGACTTATTTTTAGTTCTTTTAATTTTCTCTCAGAACTCCTTTGTTCGGTTTCCTTAATTATTTCCTGTTGCTGTTAATACAGCTGTTCATTTTCCATCTTTAGTATTGTTGCCATCTTCCCTGACGTGTGCCATTCATAACTTTACTTTTTAGTGAGGAAAAAAAAAAAAAAGACTTTTGAATATGTTGACCCAGGATGTGGTCTGGATGCAAGAAAGTTCAAACATCTTCCATAAAACAGAGCATTCAAAAAAGAAATTATTTTAAAACAATTGTATTGAGAATAGCAATTGCATCAAATAAATTAGAAATAAAAGTATTATATGAGGGAATTAGCGAGCTCATACATTTTTTATGCACTTCACAGAAAGATCTGCAGGAGCGTATTAGCATTTTCTGTAAATCTTTTCTGCTTCGTTGAGAAGCAATCTTTTTCCTCTATATTCGTACAATCTTTAACATAGTGAAGGTCTGGATGATGATTTATGCTTTCATGAGTCTGAAACTCATCTGATGAATGTTCTAGTTCAGCACTGAAGTCCAGCAGAGAAGCTGGCACTGCCACCCTAATAAGCAGCACTATCTATACTCTGGTGGGAGATGAAGGGAATACGACCCTTCTTTTTCTATGGAAGTTTTATTTTATATTGGTTTTAAGTATTTGCAGGGTGATAATCTGAGGCAGTCTGAATACGGGGGTATTCCCACTGATGAAAATTACAGCATTTCTAACCTGTGTGATGATCCAAAGCTAGTACATCCATTGCGGTGAAAAAGTATGTGGTGTGTCCAGCTGGGAAGTTAGACAGGGTGAACTAAACTTGGTTGATAAAGCAAGGAAACTTGTATTTTGATCTTTGGTATATGTGAAAAATGTGATCTATGTGATTATGGGGTTACAAAACTATAATAGTTGGATATGGTCAAAATCAATCACGAGATGCATCAGTGTGACAGGTAGTTTCCTCCTGTGCCTGCCTGTTACACTGCCAGTAACTGACAACTTTGCTTTAATGAAATTGAGTAGTTGTGTTGCTGTAGTATGTACAACCTGAACTTACATACGACTGAAGTTGATAACAAACACACAGGACCGAAATGACTCTGTTGAAAGAGAAGGTTGTGGTAAGTTAACCGATTTCTAAATACGTGGCTATCAATAACTGCGTCTGAGATTTGAAAATGTACTTTTCCAGTCGAAACTGCTACGAAAAATGCTACAGGCTTTATAATGCTAATGTTGGGACCTCCATGCTGTGTTCCTAAAACCATAACTAATATTGTTGCTTGTCTGGTTTGCTAGTGGCTTTTGTGCTCTGGGAGTAGCTATTGTTAGGATATTATGATGCTGAAGGCATCTTCTGTTTCAAAATAGGATTATATGTCCTATATTTTTGCTACAAACAGGTAGTTTCTGTCCAAGTAGTACAGGATTGAGTGTGATTGGTTTGGTGTTTTATTATTTAAGTTTTATGAAATTATGTAAACTTGTAATTTGGTTTAGTCCACATTTAAAAAAATATTTTGGTAGGAGCAAAACAATATTTCCTTCTCTTGGTGAAAGGTACCTCACAAAGATACCAGGCTGTATACATGGCGTAGAGATTTACCTCAGGCTGGGATGTGGTATGTCGGGTAGATACAGTTGCCATATCTAAGTAAATAACTGGCTTATTTCTTTATTTCTGTTTGAAACAGTCTTCTGTGAGGTGGAAACTGGAATTTAAATTAATGTTCACATTATGTCCTTTATGATAAGCTCATAATGCTGGATCCTGTGCCATGGATAGCCATTTCCCTAGGGCTAGTATAAGTAGCTACAAAATCATTAATCGTTCTCCATACAGGTATCACTAGTAGTTATATCATTTGATGTAGGCAAATCCAGTCTTCCTGTGAAAAATGCAACTATTTTTAAAAAAACCCCCACACTTAATTTCAGAGTTTGTAATTCACTTGGACTGTTGTATCAGGTGTTCTGCACTGCATGATCAGGACGTTGGGAAAATTACTTGCAGGCTACTATTGCCAAGGCATACTCTCACCATCCTCTCAGAACGTATCCAG